CTTAAAATCAGCGTTGTATTTTTATGATTCAGCAAAAGCAAAATGGTAATATATTATTTACCTGAATTAGCTTTCACTTTACTTTGTAAACATCAAGTTGTTCCTGTTCTTAATGACATCATAAAAAAAACAATCTACATTATAAACATTATAATATACCTCGGCATGTCTTCCTGTCTGGTAGGAGAGCGTATCCTTTCGGGCAGGTACAGAAATAAGAGCCTGGGGTGTTTTCACAGCCAAGAGAGCAGCCGTGGTTCCAGTGGGCGCATTCATTTACATCTACGTCAAACACAGACATATAATATGACAGATTTTGTTTTTAGTTAACTTCACCTATTCAGATACCTACTTAAATCTAACAAGCGTACATTCAGTATTTACAGCTAAAGTGATAAAATTGCTCATAGGCAGTCAGCGTTGTGACCATTTTCACACTTTACTCAGTGACCAAACATTAAAGGAAACATGTTGTTGCCGTTATAGCTTCTACAAAATGATTACATCACAGATGGCTCACCGACCTTCACAATAAGCGCCGTGCTTACTCAGAGCAAACCCCTCACTGCACCGACAAACCCCTCGCTCTGCTTCATGGGAACAGACGTTCACACAGTTCCCACTTTGTTCATCGCAGCCTGTTGGCAAAAAAAAGCAACACTTTACAATTTTGGAATATTCTCTTTCAGTTTTATTTAAACTGGGACAAGTCTGAAAATACATAAAATAAATTTTATTTTATTTTTACCAGGAAACAGTGAGGAAGGGTCTGCCGTTGGCTGGACAAGAGGGTGCACCACTTTGACATCAACAGGAGGTTTTGCCATTTGTTTAATATTAACAGCCTCTGGCTGTCCACCAGTGTACTTGYTTACTTGTTTTATGGTGTGCGATTCAGCATCAGTGTAGTATATATTGTCCAGAAAAACTGATAATCCAAGTGACCGAGACCTAATGAATCGATTAACATAAAAAAACACATCTATTTTTAATATATATATTTTAAATTTTAATTCATGCTAATGTTGTTTTGCTTCTATCAACTAAAGCTCAGGTGTAAAACTCCACTATCCAACATGTTTTCTGGTTTCCCTTCTCAAACCCAGATAATTTGCATGAATGGATGATTAACAGGCTTCTATAGAGTTTGAGAGCTAATTGAATCTCCAAATCAGGTGTGTTGGAACAAAGAAACAAGGAAAACRTGCAGGATAGCGGCCCTCGACGACCTGAGTTTAGAGGATCAAAAGGAAAGAAAGAATCTTACCAGAACACCTGCTTACCTAAGTGGCAGGTCCATGATGTGCATGGCGTTCCCAGTGTAGTCACAAGAAGCGACRGCACTTTCTCCTCCCAAACCAAACTGAACCCAGAACAGCCTTTTGTCTTCTCTGTCGACTGACAGTGCCGTCACATCCTCTGTTAATTCTATTAGGGTTGTTTTCATTTGCCCCGAGAGATCAGAGCGCTGGATTCTTGAAGTCGTCCCCGAACTCAGCCAAAACAAAAACCTGCGAAATTTTTTGGATAACTATGTTCAAATCCAGAGATTTTGTTTGAGTGCATACAAATTTTATTTCTGATCTTCTAATTGAATAAGAGACATAATTAAAGTACAGTATTTGTGTATTGGATGTGGCTATGGAATTGAATTTTGAAGCATTGTTAAAAAAATCGAATGACTTTGCTTGTTATGAAATACTGTATAGTATCAAAAATGAATTTCTCATTGTTGTTATTTTGTTTTCTTGCTCAAAAGCCTGCCCATGTCAAGGCCCTGTCACACTATGACATTTTAGGTAGCTTATGCCAACTTATGAAAACAAAATTTCCACTAAATTACTAATAAAGTTTATATATTTGATCAATTTATTAGCATTACAGTGTTTTAAAAGTGGTTTCCAGTTTATTTTTTTAAATTCCGCCTTCAACGTATATGTCTGCAAACATTTCATAAGTTGGCATAAGTTGTCTAAAATGTGTGACAGGGCCTTTAGGAATCAACATTTTTGTTGTCTACATATTCATTATAATAAGTTGCATTAGTGTTCATTTCAGCAAAAAAAAAAAAGAAAGAAAGAAGGAAAGCTGAAAGCTTTTGGAAATTTAGGCACATGACCAAATTCAACTATCAAATTATAATAAAACATATTCATTTGACTTTAGGTTCTTTTACGTTTTCTGATCAAGTATTTAATCCCTCTTAAAAAATCAATATTGGACAAAAAAAAAAAGAAATGCATCTAGACTTCTGTATACAACTGTAATACATTACCTGTTAGTCGGAGCAACGGTTATAGAACTTGGGTGGTTTAAGTGCCTTAAGATCGTTCTCTCGTTTTTTCCATTCAGGTCTATTTGCTTTATTTCCCCCTTCTTCCTGCTTGTTAAATACAAACTGTTCCAAATCCAGTCCACTGCTAGCCCTGAGATGTGTTTGTCATTTGAATAAATTTTCTGTAAAAAAAAAAGAAAAAAGAAAAGAGCGTATGTCAAATCATTGAATTAACACACATTAAATTAAACAACAAGCAGTTTTGTTCTTTTTAATCTGTTACACGCATCAGCAGCTACATAGGTTGTAGTAAAAAGAAGTAATTTTGTAATTATGCAATGCTTTGCAGTGCCCTGACATACAGTATTAAGTGGATTTTGCTTTAACTCATAAAACATGCTGCATTATAAAAAATAACTTGTAAGATTTACTTGAGAAAATCCTGTAAAGAATTTGCACTAACATTTGGTAAGTAAATTTAAATGCTACAAATTCGTGTAATATTTACTCATCATTATCTARTAAAAGTTATTAAGAATATAGTTAAAGATTTGTGAATAAATCAGGTAAATGTTACTTAATTTGCTCAATTAAATCTTGTAACATATACTTGGTCAAATTAAGTAAAACTGACCTGATTTATTCACAAATATTGAAAATATTCTTAAATATTCTTAATAACTTTTATTAGATAAGGATGAGTAAATATTACATGAATTTGTAGCATTTAAATTTACTTAACAAACATTTGTGCAAATTCTTTACAGGAATTTTTCTAGTAAATCTTACAAGTTCTTTATAACAGTGCACATGCGTCAAGCACAATATTGTAGCATGACACCTCACAGCTACAGAGAGAGGTGTAGCTCATGTTGTAGTTCAAGACTTCACCACCAGGTGGCAGTTTTGAAGAACCTTTATTGGATTCTTCTTCATGAACAACACAGACAAAGTGAAACTCACAGGTCTTATTAATGACTAGGCCTACCACTCTCACTTATGATTACTTCTGCTGAACGGTTTAACACAAGTTAACAAATAATGAACACACAAATTAGAGGAACACAACAGACTAATTGCTGAAGCCCTGTGTGCCTAACCCCTCAGTTTTAGCCCAGAAGAGTAGAAGTTGCTTAATATATTCGTGTTTATGTGCTGTCCAGAAAAAGCACTTAAATATTAGCATTTACTTGTTTTGTACAATAATATTGATGTATAATATAATGCATATTGTTTATTTAGTAAATTCTAGTAGTTTAGAAATTTAGATTTTTTTGTAAAATTTAAAAGAATAATTAAATAAATGTTACTACACCCAAAAATCCTTTTTTTCAGTGTACCTCCCTTAATGGCCGAGATTTATCGTTTGATTTGCAATGACTTTGGGAACATTTTACATGTTWGATACATGTGTTTAGACCACAACACAAGTACATGTAATTGATAATGAATGCTCACACATTTGTCAGATGGTTTTAACGTTGCGGCTGATCAGTGAACGCTAATGTTTAGGGAGATAAACCTGAAAACATTTCTTACAACAGAACAGAATCTAGCTGCACAATCACCTGTCTGTGGGCCTCTTTCACAGACGCTTTGTAGACGACACCTGTTTGCTTGTCGGCCCAATAAAGTTTCTCCTCTTTGAAGTGGAAGTCGAGCAGGGTGGAGCTTCCCACGCCGGCCACGAGCCTTCTGTGGCTCCTCCCATCGAGGCCCATGCGATGAATCGATTTCCCATGGCCGAATATCAGGAAAGGCTGTAAATCTTATGAAGTCAAAAACACATAGCTTTTTGTTTTAATGCAATACTTTATTTGTTGTTTTATCACTTTTATAGCATCATAAAGGAAGTCATAAATTTTAAATGTTGTTAGTTGTTTTATTTTTTGCAACATATTGTAATTTTCAATGGCCAAAATTGGGAAATTGTGATTTATTAGCAGCACTTAGCTCTTGCAGGAGGTTTTAGTTTAAATGTGAAAATGTTCATTAATAATCAGAATATAAAAAGTATTTTTGCTTGTATATTTTTTCACGTAGAAACTACTTTCTCCTGCATGTTTTCTGTTTAATGAAGTAAATCATCAAAACTAGATAGTGCTGTATGTGTTCGAGCTAATGCTTCAGTAACTGCTCCCTCTTGCTTCGCATCGCTCTGCTGTTAGGGTTAAATTTGTCAAACTGTCTAATTATAAAAGCCATTCACCGGTGTAATGGGGCGATGTTTCTGGATGAAACATCAGTCCCTTAGCAACAAATAGCTTTTGTGCTGGTCCTTCTCTCGGCGATGAATGGGCTGAAAGGCAGAAGCAGTTTTTTCCTCAGACAGGTTTTTGATTTAGATGACAGCAGCACACATGCTGTTAATCAGTTTTAAACAACATATATGTTGTGTTCTCACCCCTTAACATTCCTTAAAACCCTGTTGACATGTTTTTATTTATTGAATAGGTGTCAAACTAAAGGTAAGAACCAGAAAGTCATCTGACACCCTGATTTAAAAAAATAAAAATAACGTTAAAAGCTCCTGATAGTGTCTGAAAAGTTAAAGGCCTAACATTAAGAAACAAAACAAAAGTTTTTCATTCATGGAAAAAAAAAGTGTGTCTAAAAACTACTGATGATATTTGTCTGCATGTGTATGTATGTAGATGTAAATTTACAAATATGTATATTTTTACAAGTGTTATATTATTTAGTAAGTCAGTCGACTGATGTTTCAGTCTCACAATGAAATTGTGATTTAGAATAAGGAAACAACAATTTATTATTTTAATAAGCTTTGGAGAAGGGTGGGAATAAATAATTTTTTTCTTTCTTCCTATTCCATTTCAAATGTGTTAATTTTGTTATCATATTTATTTTATTAAGTTTTTTTGTTTTGTTTTCCATACATATTTGAAATAAACTAAACTAATGGTTGAAGTTCTGAAACTGTGACAAACTTGAACATGAGCAGACAACAAAAT